TTATTGTAACTGCGTAGATGAAAATTCGCTAAACCTGCGTAGATGAAAATTCAGAATAAAATTATAAAGAATATTTTTTAAATATCAGTCTTTGAAAAGAAGTACTTTTCAACTAAGTCAGGCAAGAGCTTAAAATAAGTATGATAAAAAGTATTTATGAGTTTCAAACAATTAATTTTAACTAGCAATGGCCCCTTGAGGAACTTGAGAACGAAATTCCTAAAACCTGCAATAAAAACTGAAAATGCAATATTGAATTATTGCAGAGATAAAATTATCGATTTGGAATCATGTGTAGACTGTAATAAAAAAAAATTAGTTTTCATATAATTATGGTTTTACTGTTTTAATTTTCTGGTATTTCTATCATCTAATTCTTATTTTAGAGATTTTTAATTTAATAAAAGACAATGTATCTATTGTTCGTTGTTCGACGATATCTGGTTTTTTTTCTTATATACATGACCATATATTTATTTAATTTTGGGCATTTTCATAAAATGTTTAAACATTTTTAATGAAAAGAAATTATTTTTTCTAAAAAAATACAAATTATTTGTTACTGTTAAAAACATGAATAAAAACAAGTGTTTCATTTACGATTCTTAGCTCTTAAGAGAAATAATACTCAAATGTGAAGATTTTTTTACCACGGAACCACGGAATACTTTCCACGGAAATCGTGGAATAGTTTACAATTTACTGTAATTTGGTTCACTCAACGCAAATTTGCAACATTAAATTGAAAGCCAATACCAATTAAATATAAACGTAAATAAATAAAAAAAATATTAAAGCAACGCTATCACAAAATATATATAGATCTCATATATATATTCAATTTCAAAATAAGGAGAAAACAACACATTATAATATATTTACTGTATATTATGATTACTAATATAATACATAAGAAGTATATACATAAATGTAGCATATTTAAACATTCGTAATACTAAATTTTTAGTATTTGATCTAGAATCTTATTTTTTTATGATGTAGATTTTGTCATTATCAAATTTAGTGTGTCATCTTCCAGATTCAATTTAAAAATGTACAAACACGTCTAAACATTACTAAAAAGTTTTAAATAATTTATACAATGTAAATAAAATGAAGTAGACGTCAAATAAATGCTGTCAAATGTTTCATTTTTGTTCCTTTTTATTTTTATAATTACTCTGTCTTAGAAAAGTACGTAAATGCGTAGATTAATAATTCATTTTTAACGACACACATTTTAGATGCGTAAATTAGTTTTATATTTTTAAGTAACTTATCTCCAAGCCATTAAATGAAAATCAAAAAATAAAAACATTTAGATCGAAACTAACGCTTATACATGAAACAAGTTACTGATATTTATTAAATATTTTTGAATATTCATTAAGAATGATTTTTATTTTTTTGAATAAGTACCCTAAAGTGTAGCTTTGTATATTTAGTTAATTTAAGTTTTCTTAATAATAATTAACATACAGTGTTTTTTCTTAAAAAAAACTATAGCTGTTAATATGATTACCATTTAGGAACAGGGGAGCATGCATTCGAATTATTTAGGATCCATTTACTTATTTTTTTCCTCAGATGGTTTAATTAAACACTTAAAACATTGCAGTAATTCTTCTGTATAATAAAAAGTATTATCAGAAGAAATAAACATAGTTTTAAAAAACTAGGCAAAGGAAATGAATGCACTCTTTGTTTACCTTTCAATAATAATGATAATAATAATAATAATAAATCAGGAACATTGTAGTAAAAATTACAATAAATTATTTTATTATATACTGTTATCGTCTTGAAAATGAAGTTAATAATAATTTATCAGAATGTTCATTTTATCACATTCAAAAAACTTCAATTGCTGGCGAAATCACACGTATTACTTTGCTACTTAATGCACTTTAAATTAAATTAAAATTAAATCAGTTTATAATTGGAATCTTGAGAATCTGCAGAATAATTTACAATCAAAAAATCTCGAAAATGATTTTTTTAAGAGTTTGGATTCAAAATGCTTTAGGAATTCAAAAAATACAAGGATGAAATTCCACATTTATTCAAAATAACAATAATGCACTTAATTTTTTAAAAAAAATAATTTTATTTTACAGTTTCATATTTTCCACACAACGAAAAAAAATATTATCGAACAATACTACCAAACGCTCCATTATCTCAATTTGCGGCTATGTGAACTTCCTTTTTAGCAAACATTTTCAAAAGAATAAAACAAAATACTTTCTTTAAAAGAAACAATAGAAACATTTATTCGTAATATACCCTATTAAGTGACGAAACTTTTATTAGTTTTGTGAAACTAAAAACTAAATACATCTCTTAGAATGTGAGAAGTTATAAAAATTAAAGATACGAAATTGCTCTTAAAACGAAATATGACGCTATTTCGCATTAAATACGAAAAGACTTGTAACTCTATCCCCTCTCAACAGTTTCTCTATCCCATTGAGGGTGCTTAAAAGCTTGCAAAAGTAAAGCCCGAAGGAAAAATATCAATTAGAAGAAACCACAGATTTCACCTTTTATCTGACACAATTTTAGTAAGAGTGGGAGAAAAATATTACTTTTAGAGCCAATTTTAATTACTATCTAATATACAGATATGCTTAGTTGTTAATTAAGCCAGCACCTTCAACTTCTTTTCTATTATTTTAAAAGTGACGGAACCTCTAAGCAAGTGTAGTTTTTACTTTTTGTCATTGCTCGTAAGGAAGAATAATAATTTTAAGAAGAAATAAATATTTAAGACAGTTAATTTATTTTTAATTTGTTCTTGAATTCGTTTCAGAATAACGTGCAAGACAATATCCATAACAAAAGTATATTTTTTAAGGTGCTTTAAAAAAAATGCGCAGTCGTGTACACTGACAGTCGTGTACACTGTCAGAATTTTCGTTCTAAAATTGCGGTAAAATAACCGGCAGCAGTCTGTCCTTCCAATTAACCGTAAAGATTACGATAAATTACGCCTCTTTACCTTTACGGTTTTAAAACCACTTACAACTAGTATAGATAAAAAAGCATGAATACAAAACTATACGGTATTTTGACCGTTTACAACTACAAAAGGGTCAAAACCGTAAAGAGGAATTTTAACTGGACATTAGAACTAGGCTTTTTGTTAGGTAATAAGTATTGAAGTTAAGTTGTGGTTGAGTTGTGTTTTATCATATTAATCGTGGAATATGGCTTAATTAGTTTATCTGGTGGTTTTACTTTAGCTTTATGGTGTTGCTATCTATGCGTGAATGAGAGCATCGTGTTTTAATAGTCCAGGTTCTCAAATTGGGAAGTGCAGGACACGGGATAATATTTGTGTTTTGAAGGGAATGGAGGAAATGTTGTGGTTTCAAAACTGGGAATCGAACCCTCGTTCAGTAGGTCATGAGATTGACAGATTAGTCCTCTCGGTTATAATATATCACTATCTGCAAGGAATTAAGTGGCTTAATTAGGTGGACCTAGTTGATGAGATAAAATTCTGGTTGTTTAACCGTGTTAGGTGAAGGTTGTTATTAAACGTTTTTTTTTCACACTTAACTGTTTGATTACCATTTTACTCATAACTATTTGACTGTTTTGTTTAAATATGATGAAATAAAAAAGAAAGAAATTGTTATTTAAAATTTTTTTCCCGGAGATTTCTAACAGTGTTGTCTAATTTTATTAACCAGATGGATAATGTTTTAGAATTTTCAAATGATTTGCTTATATAGTGATTATAATCTCAGGGGGACATTTCCTGCAAATGGTCATTTTGTTTTAAAACGCGTTTACCAACCCCAGTTTTACGAGTCCAATCCCATACAATGTTCAAATTCAATTTTATAAATTAGAATCAAATAAGAAAAATAAAAAAGACTTCCACTCAAAAAGCGCTATTCAATTGAATATAGATTGCTTAATTATGAACTGTTTGTTTATCAAACACGAAATAGTTGACATTAGAGACGATTTAGCTATTGTCGACAAATTTGCATAAAATCATAAGTTCAAAAAATAATAATGCATACTAAAACAGTTTAGCTACCTAAATCACAAGCAGCACTGCTAGTTGAAGTCATTTCTTGTTTGGTTACAGGGTGATGAAAGCTCTATAAAGTGGCAAAGAATAAACTCAATTGACCATATACCAGCCATGGTCACTATGACCGCGTCCTTTATTTATTCCTTAGTCCCACCTCAAAAGTAAATAAATAACTAAATAAAAAATAAATAAATAAATAAAAACTATGTGGTTTAGTCAATGTCATATGTAAATTAACGGGTAGAATGTGTATTGAATTCATATAACTGTGTTTAATTATCAGCAACAATATTATTCTTATTTACTCATGTACTACTTTATATTATTCTTATTTACTAATGTACTACGTTATATTATTCTTATTTACTATTCTTGAGAAAGGTGATACTGTTAATTAAAAGTTTAAAATTAATAAAAGTTTAATTAATGTGAACAATTTAATTATTACTTGTGTATAAGAAAAATATGTCGATATAAATCGATTTAATTTGTAATTACAGAAAATAAATTTAATATTCATAGTTGGAAAGGAAAATATTACGTGTTTATATAGCAGTTCAAATAACAACTTTTATTAAATAAGTTTAAATACAAACGATTATTGAGAATAAAGTTTACAAAATTAAAATTTAAAAAAATATTAAATTTGAAATAACATCTACATCAGCTTTTAATAACACAAGACAACAGACTTTAACATTTGTTTTTACTTTTTAATGTTCACAAGCATAAATGTTTTAAGGTAGTAAAATAAGTATTCCAAATTTTTTTTAACTGCACATTTACAGACTACTGGCATAAACCTAAACAGTAAATATCTATGGATGTTATCCGATAATGCCCCCCCCCCAAATGGCACTCAAAAGACAAACGTCTTAACCTCAAACTTTTAATCACGCCTCATTGCTCATGACGAATCAGACTGATTTTTTTTATCTTCTTTCTACAGGCCCTGACTACTGGGGTTTGCTCAATCCAGACTGGAAGTTGTGTACAAGGGGTCGGCGACAATCTCCTGTGAACATTGAACCTTCTGTACTGCTGTACGACGCGGCAATGGGGAAAGTGGACGTGGACGAAGAAAAGGTACGCTCTAGTAATCTAGAATGAAGGAAAGGGTCGTGTTCTCCCTTTTGTTTACTCCCGCCCCTTAGCAAACGTTATCCTCCGTAATGAGATGAAGTCTTGTACAAATAGTCTTCCAAATGATCATCAGAAGACATTAAGAGGACCGGCAGGTTATTTCTTCATTTTTCGCAATGCTATTACTTGATTCCGATGATAATTAGAAAATTCAACTTTTCTCTGTAGCGAGTCATAATTAAAGCAAATAGTTATTAAAATTTTTATTTGAAATGATTAAAAAAAAACAAATATGCATATAGATATATATGTACGCTTTTTTAATGAAATTTTACCGTTAGAGTTTGAAAACTATTCTGCTTTTTCATTAAATTTAATGTTAATAAATAATAAAATAACAATAAATTAAATAAATTTAATTTTGGTTTATTGTGATACTTTTAATTGATTTCGAAAATAATTAGAAAATTCAACTTTTCTCTGTAGTCGATCATAATTTAAACAAATAGCAATTAACTTGCTTGTTTGAAATGATTAAGAGAGTAAGCAAATTTATATGTATGTTATTTCATATTTCTTTCTAGAAAATTTTACGTTAGATTTAAAAAAAGTATTCTACTTTTCAGTTAAATTAAAATAATATTTATCATGATAATAAATAAAATTATTATTTCCCAACTAAATTTGAACCGAGCAAAAGTGAATGCGCAAATCATTAGTAATCTTATGATTTTTGTTCTTTCATTCTATGTTCAAATCTTCCCTTATATAAACGTTTGCTTTAAATATTATTTATCTTGATTTACACATGAATGAAAACAAATATTTATTTAATGAAATCAATAATCGTTAAGAAAAAACACAATTATGAAAGCAGGTTAACTTTTTAAGACATTTTTACGATCTTTTTTTAATGCTAGTGACCAAAAAATGTATTTTTTAATTTTTGTGCTTTTTTCTAACTCTTTAGAAAGCGTAATAAAAAGTTTAAACTAAACTTATCAAGTTCTTTAAAAGAATCTGAACTATTCAGACACTTCATAAAAAGGTAAAAATATACTTTTATTAAGAGCACTCATTTTTTTCCCATAAATATAAATTTTTGTAACACGTTACGAAAATTATGATTTTTTGAAAATTATGATTTTTTCGTTAACTCTTGGTATTTTTTAGGTAGATATAAGAAAACATCTGTTTTTTGAATATTTTGAATAAATAATAACTCATTTGGAATTGCAAAAAAGAAGATAAAATATTTCAAAATGTTTCTGTTCAATGAAATGTTTTTGCTTAATGAAAATTTTCATAGATGCAAATTACCTCATTTATTTATGATGGTGTTTCCACTTACTTACTATATTTTACTTACTGAGAATACTATATTTTACTATACTATGCTTTATTTACTATATTTTACTATACTATGATTTATTTACTATATTTTACTATACTATGCTTTATTTACTATATTTTACTATACTATGCTTTATTTACTATATTTTACTAACATCTTACTTACTAAGTTTTGCTTACCATATTAAATCATCAAATCATCGACAATCACACGAACCTTTTTCTCATTATTATTTTTTAGTGTATCAAAATAGCATAATGTTTCTGAATTATTAAAGCTTTAGTATATCGAAATAAAAGATGAATCTTCATATTTCCTGCAAGGAACGTACCTGAAGTACCCCTGCCAAATCATGCTTTACTTTTTTTATATACTTAGTCTTTTAGGTTAAGAAATAATACTTATAGGTACATGCTTGTTTTTTATGTCAGCCTAGTTCACTTTTAGACTTCTTATTCTAAAATTATGATATAATAACCGGCAACAGCCAACCATCCAATTAACCTTAAATCTTGCGATTACGATTATTTATTTAGCTTCATGAGCTTGAAACCTTTTACAAGTGGTATAGTTAAAAAAAACACGAAAGCAAAACTATATGATTCTGTAACTATTTAATCTAAGAAATTTCAAACAGTCTTTTAGTTTGAGAAATAATATAGACGAATTTTTGTCTTCTTTTTCTCTTTAGCTTTGTTGTGAGGATATAAATTTTCAGTCAAGAAAGAAAAAGCTAACAACAGTTGAAGCAATTTCTTTAAAGTTGCAATAACAAAATAGAATTTCAAATATTAATTTCCAATGATTTCTCGTTACAGATCTAATCCAGCTATTTAGATGTTATTTAAAAATACTTGTTAAATGTAGAATCATGCAAGAGCGTTTGGAATTTATATCTCAAGAATTATTATTTTATTATCTAGCCATCAAATTTAACCTTCACTTTTTTTTTCTTTTTAAAACGCGAAAGTCAAATTTCCTAATTAAGATGAAAAGTTTTTAAATTAAAGCAAATTTTTATTCATCTAAGGGACAAATATAACTTGGTAACTTATTTACGATATAAATTGAATTTTTTAATAATTTATAACTTGATAATTACTTCGAAATAAGCAAAATAAATTTTACAATTTATTTTCTAACCTAAAAGAACTATCTGTTAACTATCAGCCAGAATGGAGAATGATATTTAAGGTACATTCTTTGTTTGTGTATGTAAGGGATACAGATACAAAGATAAATTCTTTTTGCACTGTTATTTCCAATAACATTGCACAAATTCTTAGCATACTATAGAGCATGGTGTAAATTCTTAGCTTATCTGATAGCATGGCGTTATTTTCTAACCTATGGCATTATTTTCTAACCTAAAAGAACTATATGTTAGCTATCAGCCAGAATGGAGAATGATACTTAGGGTACATTCTTTGTTTGTGTATGTAAGGGATACAGATACAAAGATAAATTCTTTTTGCACTGTTATTTCTAATAGCATTGCACAAATTCTTAGCATACTATGGAGCATGGTGTAAATTCTTAGCGTATCTGATAGCATGGAGAAAAGTCTTAGCGTACGTGTTAGCATTGTAAAAACTCCTAATAGCATAGCGAAATCTCTTAGCATACCTGATAGCATGGCGAAAACTCTTAACATACTTGATAACCTGAAAAATCTTGGCATACCTGATATCATTGCGAAAACTCTCAGCATACCTGAGAGCATCGTCAAAACTCATAGTAGAACTGATGTCATTGTTCTTTTTTCTCCACCTCCAATTTGATTTCCTTATTTTGAGTTAATTTAGTTAAAGTTGATTTAGTTGAAATTATTATATTTAGAGCACTTTAAAGAATTTTTTTTCTCTGTATAGCAATGCAATGAAATAATTTTAAAATGATTTTTCCCTTTTATATCTAATTTCCAATTATATTTTTACGTTCATTTTACCTTTTGAACTTTAAAGTTACAAATATCGCTAATTCAGTCTAAATGTTGGCAATCTCACTTATTTTATTGAGTCATTTTAATAAACTTCGGTTGTTAAATATTGATGTAATTATGTTTTCTTTTCTTTCTTAAGTAAGAAAAGTTGAAATTAATTTGAATTAATTTCTTTTATGATAATTAATGATCATTAATAATAATTTTAATAAATTAATTTTAATGTTTACACTTTTAAAAATTCAGATTTGATAATAATGCATCAAAGAAATAAGCGCGAATTTTCACTTTGGAAAAAAATTATTTTCTTGCGGAAATTGCTTTAAAAAAAATCCTTTAAATTTATTTTCAAATATTTTAACCAGCCCACCCTTATGCCAGAAGTAATGTTATATTAAAGAAACTAATTTTTAACTAATCTTAAGTTATAAAATATTCCCTTAGGAAAAAACGACATATTGTCTTTTATTTCTGATGAAAAATCGGAAAGATTTGAAATATGTTTAAAAAAAAATTAAGTAATTTATACATTTATTTGTTTCAGGTAAATGGTACTCTCAAAAACACTGGACACAGCGTTCGATTCCGCTTAGATCCTGACAGTCCTTCAGTGATGGTCAACGGAGGACCGTTATCATATAAGTATCGAGTGCACGAAATTCTGTTACATTACGGAAGAACTGATGACAAGGGATCGGAACATACGATTTCCGGTCACGCATTTCCGGCTGAGGTAAGTGTTCCCCTTACAGAGAGATTTTTTTTGTTCAAATAAATTAGGTTAAAAGCTTTCTTAGTATAGATATAACCTTATCAACACGAATATATCACACTGATATGGATAAATTTGATTTATAATGTACATGCTAAATTATCTTACTTAATATATATCTGCCTCCAAACAAAATCCAATTATCTGATCTGTTCCACAACAAAAGATTTATCGTTTATTGCAATTTGTTCTTAAGCATTTGAGGTTTAAATTTAACTTAATAATCTTTTATTATCTTAATAATCTTTCATTCATATTTTTTTATGTAAGTCATAACTGGATTTATTTTTTCTTGATGTACGAACTCTGTCAAAAGCTAAAAACTTGCTTCGTGTGGAATTAGAACTTATAGAAACGTTATACTTTATGAGAAACCTGGATTTTTTATTAAGGAAAAAAATCTCTTACTTTTTATAGAGAGACCATGCAAACCGACACTATTGTCGATAAAGCATACTTCTTGTTTTAAAAATTGCTTACATTATATCAATAGCAAATTAGCAAAAACATTATTTCTTATCAAAAACATTATTCTGAGATGAATTATTTGTGGCAGTAAAACCTACTTAAATCAGTTTAAAAAAGAAGAATTTATTAAAGATATTTGACGAAAAACTATTATAGAAATAAGTAATTAAATCCTAATTATAAGTTTTAAAATTAATATTAGGTCATTTCTGTTTACAAAAAAATACCTTAAGCAATTAAAACAACAAACACTAATAATTGTAAAGCAATTCTCCTCCTATTAAAGCAAATTCAAGAAGACATTGTTCTTTAACCTACTTTAAAGAAATTCCTCACGGATTTTCTTTAAATAAAAGTATTGATTATCACTAGTTTTGTTTTTAATTTTATTTCGACTCATGCTTACTTTTAGAAAGTACAGTTAAAAAGCACAACTGGGTATTTAAACTCTCTTTTAGACTGTGTGCCATTTTAATGCAAATTTTTCTTCTTTCCAATAATGTCTATACGTAAATTTGCATATAGGTTGAATAATTTAATTTTAGTAATTAAGGCTCTATTTACTTACTCTTATTCAACACACTTCTTGTGTTTGCTCTGTGAGTTACAGGCCAAGAAGCCATCTGGTTTCGGATGCTGAATTACAAAAGTACATTGTAAGACAAGCAAAAGTTAAAAATTTAATTTTTTATGACATCCTTCCTAAACCTTAAATAAAAGAAAGTTTCTTTTTTTCAAAACAAAGTTATTTAAAGCACGTTTACTGTATTGCTAATTAAAGTTCACTATTAATTTTTGTAAAGCTTGTTTTACTTTATTCTTCAAATAAAAAATAATTAAAATTTAGATTGTGGAAAGTCTGTAGTGACGAAAGTCCCATTCCATGGTAGTTTCCATTTATTGCAGAATTTTCATTAATAACTTAAAAAAGAATTATAACCAAATCAATATGTTTTTTCTTAAATGTTTCCTTAAAATGGCCTTAAGAATACTAATTAAAACTGCACACTATCATTAATTATAGGACCGATATAATATTCAAGTTTTTAAGTATGCTTTCAAGAGTATTTATAGTTGGAATGCTAAAAATATACACGAAAGGTTTAAATTACATTTTGCATATTACATTTAAACAACACGTATAAAAAATAAAAATTTAATAGTAAAAGTAAAAACTTTTTAGTAAATCTTAAAATTTTCATATTAGAAGCAAAATTCTCAAGTAGATTATAAGATGAGGCATTATTTATGCTTATTAAAAATCAAATTAAATTTTTTTTTTAAATAGCTCTTGATAATTAATCAGAAAGGATTTTAACTTGCATATTTTGCTACTTTTTTACTTCTCAAATTAAAATGAAAAATTTCCGATTTTTATGTATTTTATATATATTCAATTTCAATGTATTCAATTCTGCTTAGGGGAAAACATTTTGTTTAAACCGGATAAATATATTACAAGTATTCTAAAATGTTTTAAAGATTACCCTTTATTCCATAGCAAGTTATTTGGAATTAAAAATGAGGAGGAATACAGCAAAAAATAGTTTATATTTGTCATGTTTATAGTGATTTTATTAATTTGTCCAATTTTCCCTTTCCGGGTGATATATTCTTGTTTAAAAAGGTAAAAAGTATTTATTTATATTTTTATAACATTGTTTTGAGCAACTAAAATTTTTTAAAAAAAATACGGATTATTTCTGAATATCGAAACAGAAGAAATGTGCATCTAGTATAATTATTTACTTTCTAGTAGTTAGATTTGTCTTATTTAATTGAAACTATTAATCACTTATTGCCAATGCTTACCTGTTTAAATAATTATAATTATTATTAATAGGAAATATTAGACAAGAAATGAATAACTGAAGTATTAAGGTTTTCAAAGTGATTAAAATTTAGAACTCTTAAAAATTTGAGTAGAAATCTGGGAAATATGTTTTTAGTGATTTAAACATTAAAAACAACGAACTTTTTAGCATTATATTTATAAATTAATCAGCTAAAATTAATACAAATGTATAAAATAAATAAATAAAAGCTTAATAAATAAATGATTACTCATATAATTTTTTGCATAGCATTTGCATTTCAAATAAAAATTAAAAGCAATTTTCACAAAAGTTAAACTTTTAAATGATTATCATAGGATCTATAAGCTAAAGTTGTACTTAAAAACAATTTTATTAATTCAAAAATTTTAGTTTGTTTTATGTAAGAAAAGAAAAAAATGTAATATCAACTTTATTAACATATTATTTCTTATTTTAAATATTGAAAATTAGCTTCAGAGATAATTCAAAAAGAAAAATAGAAATATTCTTATGTGGCATCGAAATGTAATATACATTTATTTTCCATATCATATTTATGTTTCTCAAGTCTCATTTAAAATTCATTCAATGGAACTTTTCGATAGTAGTTTCAAGTTTTTAATTACAGTTTCTTATAAATTCTTTATTACACGTGCAAAAACATGGCTAGCTGGTGGCATTTTATGTACGTTCATTGCTTGTTTCATGAAATTTCACAACATTAGCTATATTCAAATTTAATATGAAATTTAGGTTCAATTTTACACAGTAAATAAATAAAAGGTTAAAAGTTTTTTTTTCGAGCAATATTTTAACTTTATTACATTAACGGTATTTTATTACTATATCAAATTGGGTTTTTCGCAGCCTGTTTAAAGCCAAACATAGCAAAAAATATTTTAAAAAGCAATTATATAACATTTTACAGTTACGCATGGAATTACCACTATTTCATGAAAAAAATCTTTTTATGTACATTTTCTATTCCAGGATTTAGGTAAGTTATTTTGCTATTTTAAACAAAATAAAAAATAAAGAGAAAAATAGTAACTATGGTAACGAAAAATCTTTGACTTTAGTTCTAACTTTGATTGAAGCTGTGGAAGGTAAGTACAAATTCATGGAAAGGAAAATTTCTCAGAATTTTCATAATTTAAAATTTTTTCCAAGTTTTATTATGTTTTTAAATTTTGAAATATTGCCAAGGAATTCGCATAAAGCTGATAGAAGAAATTCTTTTTAGTAAAGAGGTAGGTTTTTTTTAAATCAGAGCAGAAAATCTTCAGACATGTTGTACTGTTCGGAGTTATTATGAAGCCAAAGTTGACTAAGTAAAAAAGCAAANAAAAAAAAAAAAAAAAAAAAAAAAAAAAAAAAAAAAAAAAAAAAAAAAAAAACCGTCTGTCAAGTCAACTCGTTTCAGGAGTTTGTTTTTATATCTATTCATTTTATAAATCCTGTTACGGGTTATACATGCCTAATTACTTAAATAAATCGTTTTTAATAGGCTAAAATAAAAAGAAAATAGGAAATGAACAAAAATTACTTAATGAGAAATTATATGAAATTCCAATTAAATTTAAGAGTATACTCTTGCATAAATTCTATTTAAGTAGAGAAAAAATATATTCTCTTAAATTAGACATCAAAGTAAAATTAACGTACTAATTCATAATTTAACTTGTTGATAGCGTTCTAATTATTAATGTTATTACTTTAACCGTTAAGAACATTTTAACGAATTTAGAATGACATTTAGTGATATATAGATAGGTTTGATTTTTTTTTTCGACACTCGATTTCAATATCACATTTTTGGCTGGTATTTTGAAAGCTTAAACATAATATGTTAAATCAAAGTTAACATGAAATGTACGTCTTATTTTATGAAAAAAATATATTCATGCAATTTGTCTTTCTTTCTCAAATAATATATATATCTATATACATAAATAGATATTGAATCGTTTAACAACGGCTTGTTTTATTGCAGTTGCAGATATTAGGCTATAATAATCAGTTGTACGACAACATGTCTGAAGCTATACCTAAAACTCAAGGAGTTGTTGGACTTGCAGTAATGATGCAGGTAGGTGAAATTTAGAATTAATAATTTGATATAATAATTGAGAAAATATTTGTTATTAAGTTTTTCGATGATTTAGGATGAATTTGAAAGATAATGTAATGCTTTAAAATGTAGTACCATTTACCATTTTCATGACATTGGACAATATCATACTGAAAAGGCGTGTATATATATATATATNTTAAATATATATATATATATATATATATATTTGTGTTACGGTGAATGTCAAAAATCAACTAGTCGTTTGGTGTATGTCCGAAATATTTGTTACATTCGATATGATATGAATTTTTTCGTGGATATAATTACATTTATTCGATATTTTAATACTTACTGACGATTGATCAGAAGAAACATCAGTGTTTGGAGTATCTGGCCATACATTTGCATTTGCCCGGTATACATTTGCTCTGTATACCCTACACTGATGTTTTTTTAAGGGTAAGTGCCACTGCCCGGTATAAACCAAGTATCGGGCAAATATATACCGGGCAATGGCACTTGACCTTAAAAAAACATCAGTGTAGGGTAAACCGGGCAAATGTATACCGGGCAGTGGCACTTAACCTTGAAAAAACACCAGTGTAAGGTATACCGGGCAAATGTATACCGGGCAGTGGCACTTAACCTTAAAAAAACATCAGTGTAGGGTATGCTGGGCAAATGTATACCGGGAAATGGTACTTAACCTTAACTGGCTCGGTATATCCTACACTGATGTCTAATCTATCGTCAGTAAGTATTAAAATATACAATAAATATAAATATATCAAATAAATATAATAATATCAACGAGTAAATTAATATCAAATTGGATATGACAAATATTTCGGGCATTCACCAAAGCGACTATGTGATTGTTGACATACACCGGTGAGGGTCCGAATGTACAAGAATGTAATGAAATATTAGATCTTTCACCTACGTTTTTGGTGTTTCTCCAAATTCACCGGTGAAAGTCAACAACCACCTACTCTTTTCATTCACCGTAACATATATATATATATACAGAGAGAGAGATAGATGAGATGGTTATTCTTCTTTAGTTCGAAATGTCTCCGTCGTCGTAAAAGAATGCATACTGCAGTGAACATTTTGGTTTATTCCATGTATTTATTGTACTTTTTTTTTAATTTTTAATTCTATTACTTAGTTTTATTGTATTTTTAATTCTATTATGTTTACATAAGTTTACAAGCAACGCACCACAACCAGTACGTGTAATAAAAATTTCAACCCAATATAGTAGTTGATTGTTATATTGCTGATTTTTTTTCTGTTTTCGTTTTCGGTTTTGACCAAACCATCTTCAGGTAAAACTATATAATTTGAAAATCTAACAATTAATTGATATTTGATCCAGATATTTAAGCACCAGAGAAATCTCCAGTTTATGTATGCCTTTAGGCCCAATAATTGTCCAACCAGTTCCAATAATAACCTGAAATTTCTGTATTCATGTCTTCAATTATACCTTAAAACCTAAACATTAAATGTATACCTACTCAACAGGAAGATACAGAGATGGCCAAACATGCAAATATGAGTTATTTAGAATTCTAAACCAGTAATGTAAGAACTCGAGATTACAATAGATTATATATGAATTAAAATACATACAAAAAACATACATTCAAATGTGCAACTAATATTTAAAAACTTTTTTTGAAAAAATTTATATTGAATTAATTAAAACTCTGAATTAATTTGACTAAAAGGGCTGAAAAGGGCGGTAATGTCTGTAAAATCAACTTGTTATGAATTTATAAACCATCTCCATCCCCGTTATCCAGAAGGCATTAAGCATAACCAGAAAATATGATAGCAGAATTATCCATAAGCCATTTAAATTATTAAACTCACTCTCATTAGTGCTTGGTTTTCTAAAAATTTGCAGTTTACAGAGTACTTTGCTTTTGGCTAAAACGAAATACAAAACTAATTTAAATCATGGTATATCAACTAATATTTGTTTTTGACAGCTGCAATATTATAATATTTTAGTGTATAAGATCATTACCTTCCCATACAATCCCTTATAATAATATTATAACCTATATATTAGTTAAGATATAATAGTTTAAAGTTCAAAAATCCCACTACATGTTGTAATTCGGGAATTTATACAAAGATTTTCGAATACACTTATAAAATTATCGTCTCTTCCTCTCTGTGCTTTATTAGTATAACTTATTTCTATTTTTATCCTTTTATCCTTAAGCTTTATTAGTATCCATTTTTTCTATTTTTATTTTTAGCATAACATCAGAGCAAATTGTTTAATTTATTCTAACAAAGACTAGCTTCCAAAAGTAAAATTTTAAAAAAAATCAATGATTATATATGACGTAAAAAATATTAATTATGTTATAATGAAGAATATGTTCGGCTTACAAATATAATAAAAAAAATGCCATGATCCTTTATTCTTTTCACTGTAGGCAGTGGGTTGTGGAATATTTTTATATGCATATCCGGTTTATGTCTTAATTAATATGTTAATTCTCTAGAGAATTTTATTATAAGTTCATTCAAAGTATGGAATGAGAAAATAATGAATGTAACGTTATTGAAAGATAACAGATTTGAAATGAGTGAATGATATCCATGGATATATATATCTGAAACAAAACAAAGTGAGCATTGCTGTGTATGAAGTTTTTATTTCTTCAGTGAATCAGCCATAAATAACTTTATGCATCAGAAACTTGTTTTGAGAGATCATAATCAAAGCTTTCCGTCTAAACAAAGAATTCGATATATTTTTGTTGTCTGTATTTGTGCAGGAATTGACTTCTTCATGGGAAAAAAAATTAACATTTGAGTTTTCTTCCTTTCAGTAAAAGCAAACTTAACTATTTTTTTTTAATGTTAATAAGCATCTTAAAGAAACCAATGTGCAATTAGTGCAAACTTCATTTGCATATTAGTCAAGGAATTCTGTTATTCATGCGTATATTTTTTGGTAAAAATAATGATGATGCATGTTATTATAAAGATCTTCTAAATGTCGTATTAAGTGCAAATTTTTCGTCGATATTAATTTTGATTTGTGAGAAAAGTTTCGTATGGATTCAAGTAATTCGATTTGAGTTTTCTATTACTAATCTTTCAAAACACATTTACTGGGTAAATTTTTCTAGGGACAGCTGCATTGACTGGATCACTGCATTTTCTTAAATTCATTGTGGAAATGCTCAAATTTATTTTTTGACCTTACCATCGTTTATTTGAATAAAAAAACTATTAAAATTTAATCGCTCAAAAAAATAACTAAGCATATTAGAAATTTAAATAGGAAAAAAACATTTTTTTCAAAGGTAAGTTTGAAACAAAAAAATATAAATGAATAAAATTATTTAGCTTAATCCTAAATTAAATGATTGAGTTTCTTTTCATTAACTGAAAGTATAATTATAAGATCAACTTCACCTACACTGTGAAAAAACTCTTTACCTTGAATTTACTTGTTCAGTTTTTTTGTTCTCGATTACTAGCTAATTTGATTTTGACCCATATTGCATTTATAACAAAAAATAGATACAACATATGGAACATACATACTCAGACACGAGTATTACTGCTTTCCGTACAAACACATTTATTTTTTCAGAATTTTCATGTTTAAAATACGCAAAGGGATAGATTTAACAGAAAAATGCTTCTTTATCTATTTAGGTTGGATCTAACTGTATAAAAATCCCTTCTTAAAATCAAAATTAATTTCAGGTTTCTTTTGTTTTAATTTACGCAGTGTTTCGTGTTCAATATATAGTAAAAGTGCACCTCGTTACCGTGTAAATAAATCATTTATACATTTGACTATCCAATAATCTTGTTCAATTGAAATCAAAAATAGTTTTACTTTATCGCAGATTACGCAATGATTCATACTGTTTGATGAATCCTACTACTCTCAATGATGTTGAATTAACTGAATGATTTAACTTAAACCCATTAAGAACACAGGAAATTTACATTAGTGCAATATAATGGATTATAGGCATATCTTGAACTCTGTCTTTTATAACTGATAAAAAAGCTTAACATATAAAATAATCAACATACAAAATAATTTACGTATAATAAACTTGAGGGATCCAAAATAGTGAAAGCTTTATTTTTAAAGCATATTTTCAGACAGCAGTTGCTATCCTTATATTCAAGAAACCAAACCGTCGTAAAAAATAAATGCATATTAAAAAAATTTTTTTGCATGATTTTATAACTTGGAAAATGTCTACATGAATTAGTTACCTTTTAAAATGCTAAATCGTAGATCGATTAAGTCTGTATCTTAGTGCGTAAAAATCCAATCATTGGATTAAAAGCTATCAAGTACTTCAAATTTTCTTGATTTTCTACGTAGCACGTAATTTTCACAACATTTTAAAAAAAACTATCCAAACATTCGATATTTTCAAAATACGATAAGACTCTATAATATTGCCAGTTAAACACAAATAACCCAATATATATTTAACCAGGAAATTTTATTCTTCTTATTTACTTTTAGAAATAAAGAAATAACAATATCCTTAACTAACACTTTAATAGCTTATCATGTATGTTTGATCTTATTAACTAAATCAGTAGAAGAAGAAAATCCTAAAATTCCAAAAATCAATATGTACATCTCTGTTATTATATATAAGTGTATATAGCTCTTAAATCATTACAGTAACTGCTTGTTAACTTTTTAAAATTTAATCTCTTTGTCTTAAACAGCACGTATTCTGTCTTCTAGTTATAAAAACTTCTAACTAAGATAAGTGCGAAGAAGAAAAATAGACATTTGCACGTATTCAATAAAAGTAATCGTAAAACTAAGGAAAACAATCTGAAATAAAGTGTTTGCATTTGTGTTCTTATTTTTATTAAAAAAATTTATTTTGCTGTGAATTTATGGATTTATTCTTTAAGTCTTAGAAAAAATACAAATCTAATAAAATATTATCCAATTTTAGCACCTATAAAATTAAATATTTTACTTTTAT